TCCCGCGACTTAGGCCGGCGAAATTTAAAAATGAAATGTAATAAATATAGAAAAAGTTTTTTGAACTCGAATTTAGTAGTTTTGGGTTTAGTATTAGTTTTGTAGCAATGCAAAGAAACAATCAAATGAATTGGATTGGAGCATATAAATCAACGTTAAGCTTTAAACATTGTACAATCCTTACTAATATTATAAATTCCAAAGTAACTCTGTCTGTCTTTCTGTCTGTCCTACTTTCACGCAAAAACTACTGAACCGATTTATAAGAAATTTGGTACAAATATAATCTAGAGCCTGGGGAAAGACATAGACTACTTTTTAACGCGAAAAAGAAGTTGTAAGGGCTTGACAAATTTGTATGGAAAGTTTGTTTTCAGAATATGTCAGATATATGTGAATGTTTTGTCGGTTTAATATGTTTTGTTATTATGTATTATAAGGGATAGTAAAATAAGTAGCCTGAATAATTAAAATGGCTAAAATGTAAAATTATTAGTAGTTTAATTGCTAGAGTTTTAGATAACAATTTACAAAGATTATTTAAATAAACATTATAAAGTGTAATGTACTCTATACTGATATAAAAGGAACGTTTGTTTTAGTATAGATAACTTTATTACCTTTCTATCAGTCCATAGGTCAATCTATCTTTACTAAGTGCATCTAAGAAAATAAAATAAACTTAAATAATTCATCATGTATGTTGTTTTATTCATTTAAATACGTGTTTATATTATTAAATAACCTTAGAGAAAAAATCTATTGAATCCTCAAGGCACGGACTGCAAAAAACTACGTCATCTATCGATTTGGCATATGTAAAAAAATCTATTGAATGCAGGACTATAAAAGTTATAGCAACTTGAAATCGTATATCAGTCGAGTTCTTAATTCAAGTAAGTGATACATGGTGTATTTATATTAATAATATTTATTTTGATTTAATTAACAAAATAAAAATTTGTTTCTTGACTCGATAATGTACGATTTTTAATTTAACTTTACATTGATCGTAATCACTAAGAAATTAATTTTATGTTATTTTTATAGCATCTAAATATATTACGAGGGCACATTAGTATTCTTTAAAGGGCTGATATTATTAGATAAGTAAAGAAATATTTATGCAAAATTCGTTGTAAACCGCGACTCCGTCCGAATTTTAAAAAAAATATTAAGTAGCCTGTGTGCTCTTCCAGACTTTGTCAAATTTCATCGAGATCCTTTGAACTTTTTTGGAGACATCTTCTATCAAACATCCATCCTTCCATTCATCTATATATAAAAACTTTAGCATTTATAATATTAGTTAGATTACTTAAAAATCAAAGACATTCTTCGTTGGTATAAACGATATGAAAGCTAATTATTCTTCATTATTTTAACTAATTAGCTTTGAAATTAGCATAAATGCTCTCGAGATAAAAACACATGAACAGATTTATTCTATTTGTTTTGATCCATGTATTAAACCGTTTAATCTTTGTTAACGTTTATTCTTCACAATGCAATTTCCACTCCCTAATCACATTTGAAACAAGCCATGTTGGATAACTAAAATACATCTATACCTAATGTTTTATCTTCACTTCCAGATAAAAGCTCTCTCCGATATGAAGACTATCGTGGCACTTACTGTGTTGGTAGGCTTGGCTACCACCGCCTTGGCATACAGCACGGAACATGACGACCTGGACATCGCAGCGATTGTTGCCGATAAGAACGAGTTGCAAAAATTTATTGATTGCTTCACCGAAAAAGCGCCTTGCACTAAACTGACACAAGATTTTAAAAGTAAGTACATAAACACACTTTATATCTTGGACATAAAATAATTAATAATAGGAACGTTCTAATCCAATTCTATCTAGACTATTGTGATAGTTCAAAAAGCCACAAGAGCCTTATAAATACAAGCACGCCATTTTAACGCGACAATAGCATGATGGTTAAGGGTACGGATATCCAATCAGGTGGTCGAGCAATCGAGTCCTGCCATTTGACTATTATCCTAAACCTTATGGTTAGTTCGTGTCTAGAGTTTCCTTAGAAAGGCTAGATATATTAGAAAATTTGCAAAAAATTATGAGGAAGTAATATACTTTCTCTGTAAAGCCTCCAGTTCTCCAGTGTTTATCATATTAGGCGATGTTCACGTAATATTTAGTCGCTTCTCGTTTAGTATCACAATATTATTTTCTTTTATTAGCCAAGTTACCCGAGGTTGTGCGCGAAGCCTGCGAAAAGTGTAACCCGACTCAGAAACAGAAGCTGAAAATCTTCCTCGATGGCTTGAACGAGAAGTTCCCTGAGGAATACAACGCACTCAAGAAACAGTTCGACCCCACTGGCAAACTCTTCGAGGCCCTGAACGCCGCTCTCGCTAAAGCTTGAACAATGAAATTGTAATGAACGTTTTTAACCAATAAATTGTATCATTTGTTTTTGAATCAATTTTGTAGTTTTGTTGCTGATTTTATACACACACAATACTATTTCAAAGAACTTTACCACTGATTTGGTACGAAGAAAAATTAAATACTAAGAATTATCGACCCCTTACCAAGTTTAAATACTTATTTGAAAAGGGATATATAAACTGGCTGTCAAAATATTTCTAAACTCATTTCGTTACTGTTTATAGAATTTAGTTATACATAATTAAATAGCATACATATCCTGTAGGCAAATTACGCATTATTGCTATTATTTTACATAAGGCGCACGGTTGCCGTTTACTGTCCTAGAAACGTCTACGTCCAATCTCCAATAGTTAGTCAAATGCAAACAAAATACGTATGTAGCATAACCATGTTATCGTCAATAAATATAATCCATGCTTAAATTATTAAAAAAAATAAAAAAAGATGGCTTGAACAGTTCAATTTAGAATTAAGTTAGTAATTTTAAACTAGGTGGAGTTTTTT